ACCTCTGCTTCAATCCCTTTAAATCCATCTTACTTTCCAGAATCCCTCAAACCCGATCTCTGGCAATAATGGCCCCCAACCCGTCAACCTCGACGCGTCAACCGCTCAAACTACTCATGCTTCACGGCTACACGCAGTCCGGTAGCCTCTTCAGCGCCAAAAGCCGTGCCCTGACAAAAAGTATCCAAAAGGCCTTTCCCCTGCACGAAGTCTCCGCCATCTACCCAACAGCCCCCATCCGCCTCCTGCCCTCGGACATCCCAGGCTACGAGCCCTCCTCGGAAAGCAACCCTGACGATGAAATTGAATCATACGGCTGGTGGCGACGCTCCAACACCGCAGACCCACCGTTATACACCGGTCTCGAAGAAGGGTTTGCAGCAGTAGCTCGCACACTGAAAGAAGAAGGTCCCTTCGATGGCGTGATCGGGTTCTCGCAGGGCGCTGCACTGGCTGCCATGGTCGCGGCGCTGCTGGAGCCCGGCCGGAAGGCGTCATTCGAGCACTTTTCTAAGATAAGCACTGATGGCGCGGCGGGGATTGAGATTCCGGCGCCCTTTGGTGAGGAGGAGTTCCAGCATCCGCAGCTCAAGTTTGCTATCTGTTACTCTGGATTCAGGTCGCCTGGGGCCCGGTATAGGGCTTTCTATGAGGAGCCTGCTATCCAGACGCCCGTGTTGCATGTGCTTGGGTCTTTGGATGCTCTTGTTGAGGAGTCGAGAAGTCGGGCTTTGATTGAGGCTTGTGCTGGTGAGCCCGAGAAGGAGGGGCTGGTTGTTTGGCATCCTGGTGGTCACTTTTTGCCAAGTCAGCGGCCGTATCTCGATGCTGCTGTGCGGTTCATTCGGGAGCAGTTGGAGCGTAGTAACGGAGGGAATGATAAGGGGAAGGAGGAGGAAGAGGATGTCAATGATATGGATTTGCCGTTTTGAGGGTGAGGGTTTTGTACATTTAGACAGAGCTAGATCTTTGAAAGATTAGATTAGATTTTCTAGGCAATGATTGCATGTAGCACTTATGCTTCCTCCCTTGATAAAAACGACTTGACCATTGCTACTAATATGAGACCGAGATTGTGTTGTGCATGCATCATATAAAGATCAATCCTGCGACTTCACTACTCATGGGTCTACCGGCGATTTTATTTAACACGCGGCGACAGTAAAATCCCCGCGCCCAATTCCCATGCACGCTTTCATCTCAAACCAACTCAATGCGCCTTGCCCATGTCACTGCGAGTGGGCTGGATACGAGCCATCATCTCCTCCTTGGTGATCAGATGATCGATCCGCTCGAGCAGGCCCAGCAGATTCTTCATGTCGCTGCTCCACTCGTTCAGAACGTCATCAGCATCCCGGGGCTTGGCAAAGTTGACCAACCGCGCGGGTCGGTCGATCTTAGCATAGATGGTCTTCGACGTGACCAGGTCGCTAATGAACTTTTCCGTCTCTTCCTCGGTCAGATCCAAAAGCTGGGTCAGACGGCCCATCTGAATGCGAGTGTAGTACTTGGCCACTACACGGACATTATGCTCGATGACCCGCTTCCGCAGGTCTTTCCACCTCTGGTTTGCTTGATTATCGATAGACTGCTTCACTTCGGCGTCGAACACATCGGTGTTGCACAGGTGAGGGCCGAACTGCTCGGCGACCATAGGCCAGCGCATCAACTCGGGGATAGTGAAAAGCTTCAGCAAGCGGGATTCCTCGGGAACTTGTGACAATCGCGAGTCTTGCTTGATGCGGTGCAAGAGGTCTGATTGTTCATTATCGTAGGGAGACAGGACAACGTAGTACACAATGCGGGCCAGTGACTATGGTAGGGTTAGTGGTGGCCTGCATTTCGAGATGAGAAATGTTTACTTACGGCGCGCAGGTGCTCTGGGTTGTTCTCAACTGCTTCCGTGTCCAGGACTTCCCGGTAGTTCTTGCAAACCTCGAGGTATTTGTAATCGTGATTGGCCAAGGTAATCTGCTGTTCGAAGTAACGAAGCTTGAGATCTGTGACGTCGTCATCCACCTCCATGGGTGGCTCATCAGGGCCACGGGTCTTTTCTCGCTCCTCTGCCTCTTTCTTGAGGGTCTCAATCTGCTCAACGGACTTCTTCGGCTTGCGGCTGAAGTACCGCTTGTTGATCTTGCGGCTAAGAATCTGAGCCTGGGTCCAGTCTCCGCGCTCAATGCACAAAGAGACCTGCTCCAGAATGAACTCTGTCTTTTCCCGTCTCGTCATTGACCCAAATGTCTCCACCTGCAACTCACACAGGATGTCTGCTGCCGAAGTGAGATCACCTTGGGTCTTCTTGATATTCGAAAGTATGCGGGTAACACGGGCTCGCTCTACTTCAACAAAGATCTTTGCGATAATTAGCGTTACTCCGGTTCATATCACATGGTTCTTATCGTACCTTCCCCTCAGTCACTGTGCGCAGAGTTTCGATAACAGACATCTTCACCTCCAGGCTGGGTGTCTCATCCAGGAATTTCATCACCGTCTGCACCATCTTCGTTGTGGCCTGCTTGAGTTGGGCATGTTTCTTAGATAGGAGCAGCACTTGGTCATTCAGAAGGTTCCAATCGCCGGAGTTCTTGCTGATGGTGACAATGGCAATCAGGAGTCGGGATGTGGTGGCAAGATCGGATGCCTGAACAAGGGAATCTTGATTAGTTTGGGTGGATCAGTATTGGGGATGACATTCGGCGTCATACCTGTCTGGATTGCTTCTCCAAACCCAACAGCTTATCGACTGCTCCCTGGACATCGGTCTAGAACCATGCATATTAGCATCGGCTTTAATATGAATAACCGGTCTAGAAATACCTTTGCGAGATCTTCAGCCTCTGGGATGAGCTTGTCGGCATCCTTAGTGTAGTCCTTCTCGGGCTTCAGCAGGCCGCCGGACATGATGACGAATGAGGCTGGGGAGCCGGTGAGTGAATTTAGAAGATTAGTAGGTTGAGTTGGTAGGAAGTTTATTTGAGCACTTTTGTTGTGCTTGACAACGTGAGATTCGTGGAATGAAGAGGGTGATGGAGATGATGCTTGTAGCTCCGGTGTTGCGCGCCTTTCGAGCTGGAAGCTCTGCCCCCACGTGACCGAACCATGACTTTGTCTTCCTATGTTGTAGGCCTTCTACTCCAGTCGTCTGCTTTGCCTAGCACTATAACATTCCCAGCTATGATTCAATCTCTTCTAAATAACCATAAAACCAATAAGTTTCTTGTTCTTGGGTCCCTGCTTTCTGTTCACGGTGTTAAAATGCCATTGAGACCAGCCAAAAAGACCGACTTACCAGCCTCTGTGA